TCTAACAAATTGTAATCTGTCTTTTGTATAAGTGCTTCCAGAGACGAGACTTTATTACATTTTAAGACAAGCCATTTTATTGTTAGATAACCCAAAACATAAGGAATTTATGTTGTGACAAAAATTTTGCCCTTACTACCTTTTTACTCATTGGTTCTAATTCTCTGTCTTGTGGGGAAATAGTAAGTGGACAGCTTTCATAGACAAATATTTAAATGTTTAGACAGGAATCATTTTTCCTTCTCATCCTAGGCTAAACACACCATCAACTGTTTTACAGACAACACATTTTCATACTCAACTAAGGGCCTTCTATTCTGAATGCATTCCAGTTCTGTAAAAAAATGTGCTTACTATAAGCTATCTTTATATACCAAATTCTGTGTAATTTACATTTCTTACAAGATTCTGATATCATTTATACAAAAAGAGAGAAGAAAATTAAAATGTTCCCAGATCTGTTCAGGCATTGTTATAATGTGTAGTTCATTTATGGACTCAACAGAGATACTCTTCATACGTTCATACGGTGGGTACTGCTAGTTAATATTTATTGCATATTTACTATGTACCACACCTGTTTCTAAGCTCTGTAAATATAATTTATTTAATCTTCACTATAATCTTGTGAGGTACATGCTGTTTTCACTATTTAACACATGAAGAAAATAAGGCACAGAACTGTGAAGTACCTTACCCTATATTACATGATTTGTACTGAATCTCAGTATCAAAACTGAGACTCAAACCTGGGCAGTCTTAACCACTATACTAGATATATACTAAGTTGCTCTTTTGTGATTTGATTTGAAAACTTACCTACATTTTATATCAGTTTTTTTGGGCAGCCCATTTGTAATTTGGGGACTTCAGTTAGAACAGAAACCTTTTCTGAATTAATTGTGTGGCTTTGCCTGTTTCCTGATGTATAAAGTATGGATAATATCTGTCTCAAAAGGTTATTCTAAGGATTTATATGCACACATACACGTGTTCGGGCAGATATCATTAAAGCACTATTATTTTACATCCTAGCCTAGTATCTCTATTATTTATTTATTTATTTATTTATTTATTTATTTATTTTAGAAACAGCATCTGACTTGGTTACCCAGGCTGGTCTCAGACTCCTGGCCTTAGGTGATTCTGCTGCCTTAGCCTTAATATCTATATTTTTATATTAATTAACAAATTATAATTGCATGTGTTTGAATTAGTGATTTTTTAAAGGGAATATAAAACAATATGAAATACATTCATTAAAATGGTTAGTCACACCATCTTATATTGTAGAGGAGTGAAGGGAACCTTGAAGCACAAAGGTAAAGTAACTTGGAGCTTAGGCAGTTTTCCAGTGATGACCAAGTTACTTATCACCTAGAACAGGGTAGTACCCTAGTCTTCTAGCTTTTTTAGAAGTAAAGGGACCTAGTGTGGATAACAATACAAATACTAGGCCGGGCGTGGTGTTTGGGAGGCCGAGATGGGCGGATCAGAAGGTCAGGAGATCGAGACCATCCTGACTAACACGGTGAAACCCCGTCTCTACTAAAAATACAAAAATTAGCCGGGCGCGGTGGCGGGCATCTGTAGTCCCAGCCACACGGGAGGCTGAGGCAGGAGAATGGCGTGAACCCGGGAGGCGGAGCTTGCAGTGAGTGGAGATTGCGCCACCGCACTCCAGCCTGGGCGACAGAGCGAGACTCCGTCTCCAAAAAAAAAAAAAAAAAAAAAAAAAAAAAAATTACAAATCTACTAAACTTAAAAAAAAAAAAAAAAAAAAAAATTACAAATACTAAACTTAAAATATGAAGAATTTTGATTGAAGGTAAGTGTTCCAACCGGCCGGGCGCATACCTGTAATCCCAGCACTTTGGGAGGCTGAGGCAGGTGGATTATGAGGTCAGGAGTTCAAGACCAACCTGGCCAAGATGGTGAAACCCTGTCCCTACTAAAAATACAAAAAATTAGCCGGGCGTGGTGGCAGGCGCCTGTAATACTAGCTACTCGAGAGGCTGAGGCAGAGAATTGCTTGCAGCCAGGAGGCGGAGGTTACAGTGAGCCGAGATCACACCACTGCACTACAACCTGGGCGACGGAGTGAGACTATCTCAAAAGAAAAAAAAAAAAACATAGAAGTGTTTCAATAATAATGGATTATCCAGAATAAGATGGTTCTTTTTGAAGTTTTGTTTTTGCAAAATGAAAATTATTTACTTGGAAAATTATAATTTTCAAAATCTGCAGGCATTGATTTTTTATGCATTAATAGTTCTCATTTTTATTTTATTCTAGGACAAATTTATTTCCATGAAGCTCATCTTTAAATGGCACATGTTTTGAATTTTTAGGGACTTTACTAACACAGAGATTTTGAAAATATTCCCATTCCTAAAATCATAGAAATCTGTAAAGCAACATATTATGCTTTTTTTTTTTAACTTTTATTTTAAGTTTAAGGGTACCTGTGAAGATTTGTTATGTAAGTAAACTTGTGTCTTGGGGGTTTATTATACAGATTATTTTGTCACTCAGATATTAAGCCTAGTACTCAATAGTTGTTTTTCATGTTCCTCTCCCTCCTCCCACCCTCCACACTCCAATAGGCCTCAGTGTCTGTTGTTCTCCGCTATGTGTCCATGTGTTCTCATCATTTAGCTCCCACTTATAAGAAAGAACATGTGGTATTTGGTTTTGTGTTCCTGCATTAGTTTGCTAAGGATAATGGCCTCTAGCTCCATCCATGTTCCTGCAGAGGACATGATCTCTCTCTCTCTCTCTTTTTTTTTAATGGCTATATAGTAGTCTATGGTGTGTGTGTGTGTGTGTGTGTGTGTGTGTGTGTGTTTATATATATACACACACACACATTTTCTTTATTCAGTCTGTCATTGCTGGGCATTTAGGTTGATTCCATGTCTTTGCTACAATGAATATACACATGTATGTGTCCTTATGATAGAACCATTTATATTGCTTTGGGTATATACCCACTAATGGGATTGCTGGGTCGAATGGTATTTCTGTCTTTTGGTCTTTGCAGAATCTCCACACTGTCTTCCACAATAGTTGAACTAACTTACACTCCCACCAACAGTGTATAAGCATTGCTTTTTCTCTGCATCCTCACTAGCCTCTGTAATTTTTTGACTTTTTAATAATAGCCATTCTGAGCCGGGTGCAGTGGCTCACGCCTGTAATCCCAGCACTTTGGGAGGCCGTGGCAGGCAGATCACGAGGTCAGGAGTTCGAGAGCAGCCTGACCAACATGGTGAAACCCCGCCTATACTAAAAATACAAAAATAAGCCCAACATGATGGCGTACGCCTGTAATCCCAGCTACTCAGGAGGCTGAGGCAGGAGAATGGCTTGAACCTGGGAGGCAGAGGTTGCAGTGAGCCAAGATGGCGCCACTGCACTCCAGCCTGGGTGACAGAGCAAGACTCCATCTCAAAAAAGGAAAACAAACAAAGCCATTCTGACTGGTGTGAGATAGTATCTCATTGTGATTTTGATTTGCATTTCTCTAATGATCAGTGATGTTGAGCTTTTTTTAATGTGCGTGTTGGCCACATGTATGTCTTTTCAAAAGTATCTGTTCATATCCTTTGCCCACTTTTCAGTGTGGTTATTTTTTCCTTGTTAAGTTCATCATGGATGCTGATGTTAGACCTTTGTCAAATGTGTAGTTTGTGCAAATATTTTTTCTCCCATTCTGTAGGTTGTCTGTTTACTCTGTTGATAGTTTCTTTTGCTGTGTAGAACCTCTTTAATTTAATTAGATCCCGTTTGTCAATTTTTGCTTTTGTTGCAATTGCTTCAGAGAATATTATGAACACCTCTATGCATATAAACTAGAAAATCTAGAAGAAATGGATGAATTCCTGGACACATACACCCTCCCAAGACTGAGCCAGGAAAAAATAGAACCCTTGAACCGACCAAAAGCAAGTTCCAAAATTGAATAACCTACCGATCAAAAAAGCCCAGAACCAGATGGATTCATAAACAAATTCTACCAGATGTGCAAATAAGAGCTGGTACCATTTCACAGAAACTATCCAAGAAAATTGAGAAGGGACTCCTCCCTAACTTATTCTTCGAAGTTTTGTTTTTGTTTTTTAAATAGAAGCAACACAGTATCCTTTATGAGAGGCTATGGACTTGAATTTTTCATCCCTCTGTAACCTCCTTCTGCCCTGCATCAATTTGATATTGATGGATCAATATTTTTGAAGCATTGCTACACTGTAGATAACCTTAGTTCTCTTTAAAAAGAATTACCTTAATTGAATTTGTATCATGTTTGAATATGCTTTATTCTCCAGCTAATGAGGTTATAGTAGGAAATTTAGTTTAATTATTGAATAAACTAGTCATGTTGATTTAAAAATAATAGTGTTGGCCGGGCGCGGTGCCTCACGCCTGTAATCCCAGCACTTTGGGAGGCCAAGATGGGCGGATCACGAAGTCAGGAGATCGAGACCATCCTAGCTGGCTAACACGGTGAAACCCCGTCTCTACTAAAAAAATACAAAAATTAGCTGGGCGCGGTGGCGGGCGCCTGTAGTCCCAGCTGTACGGGAGTCTGAGGCAGGAGAATGGCTTGAACCTGGGAGGCGGAGCTTGCAGTGAGTGGAGATGGCGCCACTGCACTCCAACCTGGGCGACAGAGCGAGACTCCGTCTCAAAAAAAATATAATGATAATTATGTTGGAGAAACCATGGACAATCTTCTAACTGAGTTTCAGACTTAATATAATCACTTTTATGTTTTAAGTGGAATCTACCCTGGGAAGTAGTCTTGCAACTCAAATACTTTTTTTTTTTTTTTTTTTTGCATGAATTGGTTGAATTCATGGATTGTCTATAAGCATAAGGAGATTTCATTTAGGCTCATCTCAAAGTTTGAAAAACGCTGTTTATTTGAAAAATATTAACTTCCAATTTTAAGCAGCAATTCATTCTAATAAGTAATTTTAACAATATTTTATTTACAGATTGCCCAAGGACTCCAGATACTCCAAATAGTGACCCTCGTTGTTCTACTAGCAACAATAGATTAAAGGCTCTACAAAAACAATTGGATATAGAACTTAAAGTAAAACAAGGTGCAGAGAATATGATACAGATGTATTCAAATGGATCTTCAAAGGTAAGTGTAGTAAATAAATGTAACTACTTAGTCATTATTTGCAGATTCCATAGTTATAAATTTATCTACTCAATAAAATTTATTTGTAACTCCAACATCAGTACTGGTGGCATGGCACTTTGGCAGTCATTTGTCTACATGCCTGGAGCGGGGGAAATTTGAATTATCTGACATGCTTATTTCCAGCTGAGGTCTAACCAAGGTGATTTTGCCTAACCAAGGTGATTTTGCCTTCTTGAGCTATGGTACACTAAAAAGTATCCTTTTTGAGATCTGTTTAGTGCTGTGTTTGTCACATTTTTGTGCTTTTAATTGGTAATTTCACTGTTTAAACACTATATTATGACATCTGAGATCATTTTTACCTCAAAATTTGAAAGAGTGAATAAAAGAATTTGGAAACATATTTTGTTTCGTGGGTTTTTTTTTTTTTTAGATAACATTTTAAAAATTGTTTATTCCTACTAAGACCTAGTTAATCAAAAATTTGACCTTATGGGTAAAGGATACACAGAGCTTCCCATATCTGCAAGTTTTCTGTAAATCTAAAATTATTTAAAAAGAAATTATCTAAAAAAATTTAGTCTATAATGAGTTTTCCACATTATAGACCACTCTCCCAAGTTTTCGGGAGAGGGCAAATGAAAAGATGGTACATTTGGCATCATCAATAATTGCTTGACCTAGACCTGTGCATTCTTGGGAATCTGGTATGGGCATATAACTCCTAACTGAAAATCAGTGTTACGTGGAGCAATTCTTAGTAATAAGAACATGTCCTTGTTATTAAGTATAATGCAGCAAAAAAAAAAAATGTTGTGAGCCACTGAACCAGATTATGCTCAAGGTTCTCTTCAGCCTAAGGTTCTATAGTTTTAATAATTTCCAAAAATTCTAAGAAGGATATAAAATTATAAAATATACCTTTTTACTTTCAACTCATGTATTTTAAATATTTTTATCTCTGCAAATCAATTTTTTATATTTTAATAGATATTTTAAAAATAATTTCATAATAAAAGTTCTTATGTAGTTTGTTTGTTTCAGTTTAAAAAGAATTTGAAATCAGAGGGAAATTTTTTTTTCTTAGTCGTGCATCCTAGCTATTCACCCCAAATGAAATTTGAGGCTAAGCCTGGTGGCTCACACCTGTATATGTAGCACTCTGGGAGGCTGAGGCAGGAGGATTCCTTGAGGCCAGGAGTTTGAAACCAACCTGGTCAATATAGCAAGACCCTGTCTCAAAAAAAAAAAAAAAAAAATTGTTTAAAGAGAAAGAAAAAAAGACATTAGGGAAGATATCAAAAAGAAAGAAATGTGTACTTTTCATAAAAAATGTTTTAATGTTAATTATGAACATTAGATTTTATGTTCAAAAGAATTTTTTGTTACTTTTAGAGAAAGGTATTTGTTCCTATTTACTTATGTGATATTTGATAGGATATTATTTCACTAACTTTGAACATTTCTTATTGGATGATAGAGTTATTTTTTGTGCTGTTATTTTTAGCACTGACATTTAGTTTTAGGGATTTTATATTTTTATAAAATGTTATTTTGACCTTTTTTTTCCTAAGTAAATACTTTGTTCCTGGAACTGCGATTTTAGCACATTATGCTGAGCATTTTCAAATTAACCCAGCTACTACCTTTGGAGTAAAGTTTTTAAATCTGGGGTGGAGGGTTTAGTTTGAGGGGTTTATGAACCCTTTGAAGTTATAGGAAAAGGAAGTGTCTGTGTTGATAGTTGTATGGATGAAAGGGCTGTAGGTTACACCTTATTCTCAAAGTGGTCTTTAATCCACAAAAGATTACTAACCACTCCTCTAAGTTGAACAGTTATGGACATATTAAAAGTAAAACAAATAGATAACCTAAAACAACCACAGATCCAAAGTGAACAAGGCTGTGAGCATCGTGTTAAAACAGATATGTCAATTTTGCATAGGTTTTTATTTTGAATTAGATTTATTAATTTGAGAGGGACTCAGATGGATGTCCAAAGTCCATTTGCAACTACTGTTGTCTCTGAGATAGGCCTGCCAGTTATTTCTGTCTAGATTCCACCTTAACTGTTTTTATTTTTCATCTTTAAACTTCTCACAGGGTCAGAGTACATCGTTTTAGATTAGGGAAAATTATAAATTTTAATTATGTGGAATATTAATTTATTCATTAAGGATTTAGTTAAAAGTTTGATAGCCATTATGCTAGGCTGTGGGGTATAAGTGTAATAAAGATGGTCCTTATTACATACTAGGTACACAGTAGATAATATCCTGCTTTTAAGAGACCCTCTATCTTAAAAGGAGATATATCGTGTGTGAATAGTTACAGTGTGTAATAGTGATTTGTTTGACTTTGGAAGCACAATGGAGAATAATCATTTAACTGCCAGAATGAAATCTTTTAAGTTTTAGTATGATATTTGAAGGATGATTTGGCATTTAATAAAAAATTACTTTTTAGGGATGGTGGTGTGGTTGAGTGCAGTATATACACAGTAAGGAACTGTGAAATAGCCTGGCTTATTCTAAGGAATGAAAGTGATTTGGTGTGGCTGTAGCACAAGTTCTTAGCATATTTCTTACCTAACATATCTTAGGGTAGGTAAAATGTACTTCTGATAGTAAGAGTTGTCAACTCTAGCAGTCGTTTTCAATTAAAAGCCATAGGGAAACAAATCTGAATCTCCAGAAAGACATTCATTTTGTTTGGGAAAAGTCCTCCAGGTGATTCCATTAGGGCTTCTTTCCCTTCCCCACCAGTGGAGTTTTAAGTGGGTGAGGCATAGTGAGAGATACAACGTAACTGAAAGAAAAGCCAGGTTATATGGTAGTTTGCACAGAATTAAGCAGTTGTGATTATCTTACAAGATAGATGGAGCTGCTGAAAGCAGGGAGCTCCTTTTAGCCAGGAAAATACACAATCAGATTTCAAATTTAGAAATTTCACATCCATCGGTCAGGTGTGGTGGCTCACGCCTGTAATCCCAGCACTTTGGGAGGCCAAGGTGGGCGGATCACCCGAGGTTGGGAGTTAGAGACCAGCCTGACTAACATGGATAAAGAAACCCTGTCTCTACTAAAAATACAAAATTAACTGGGCATGGTGTTGCATGCCTGTAATCCCTGCTACTTGGGAGGCTGAGGCAAGAGAATCACTTGAACCTGGGAGGTGGAGGTTGTGGTGAGCCGAGATCACGCCATTGCACTCCAGCCTGGGCAACGACGAAAGGAAAACTCCATCTCAAAAAAAAAAAAAAAAGTTCACATCCATCCTCCTCAGACATAAAGAATTAATTAAAGAAGGTCTTATATGCAGGCAGTAAGTTTAAGTAGTGTTTTGCAGTAGTACAGGTTAAATAGCTTCCTTTCTCTTGTAACAGCAGTGAAAACAGTGAAGATAAGAGTCATACTTTTGGTATCTTGGATATGAGGAAGGAGGCAGAGTCAAAGATTGTTCTTAGATTGGTTATGTGGATAGACTGATAAATTATGGTGCCCTTCACAATGACAGAGAATTCATGAGGGGGAGCAAATTTAGGGACAGGGATGATTAATTCAGTTTGGCAGTAAAAATTGTCAACAGGACTCTGGTTATTGGATTCTACATGATTAAATTATTACCCTTGTGCATGTTATGATCGGAGCTGTCCTTTTTAAATTTGTCAGATATTTTCACCCTCCTGCTTCAGAACCCTCCAGTAGTTTTCCCTCATACTTAAAATCCAAAATTCTTATTCTGACTCTGAAAACCTATAGCTTCTGATCTCATCTTCTAAAACACCTTCATCTCTCATTACACTCTAGCTACACTAGCTTCTTTTCTATCCTTTAAACATAGCAAGCACACTCTTACCTCAGGGCTTTTTCACTTGCTATATCTTTGCCTAGGTATCTGTTCTCCCAAGTACTTTTGTGGCTTTCTCCCTTCATTAAGTCATCTACTTGGATGCTACCACCTCAGCAAGCTCTTCACTACTTATCCTAAGATAAATAGCAACCTCTGTCTCTTCTTATCCCTTTATTACATTACCACTACCTTAAATTACAATTTATGTGATCAGTTTCTTTATCATCAGTTTTCAGCATTAGAATATAAATTTCATGCAGGCAGAGACATTATCTTGGTTATTACCGTATCTTCAATACCTAAAACAATACTACATTGAAGTAATTTGCTACAAATACTCAGTAAGTATCTGTTAAAACAATGGATACCGCTTCACTGCCCATTCCATTTATCTTCCTCTGGCCCATAATTTACACATTATTCTTTTTCTTATTTCATACTGTGTGTACTGTAATTATTTTCTTATTATCCCTTTTATGACTAACATGTTTTTATTGTCAGCACAAGGATCTGAGGAATGGGATGCAGTTATTTTACTCTGTTACATAAGTAGTTTAGCTTGCCATTTTCTTATTTGGTAGTGTGGCTTTAAGCAGCATCATTGTTTTTTGGTTTTTGTTTTTTTACCATTTGAAACGATCTCTGGGGGCTTCATGAGATATGTTAAAGACATACCTCTTGTTTGTTGTTGTTGTTGTTGTTTTGAGACAGAGGCTCGCTCTCTCGCCCAGGCTCAAGTGCAGTGGTGCAATCTCAGCTCACTGCTACCTCCCCCTCCCAAATTCAAGCGATTCTCCTCCCTCAGCCTGCCTCCTGTGTACCTGGAATTATAGGCACACACCACTATGCCTGGCTAATTTTTTGTATGGCTAGTAGAGATGGGGTTTCGCCATGTTGGCCAGACCGGTCTCGAACTCCTGACCTCAAGTGATAGATAATATCCAAAGTCCATTTTAAAAGTTTCATCATATGTTGACATCCTGCAGATCCTCCAGAAATTTCTGTGGGAAAATTCACCGATTTTGAAAATAAAATACAAGTGCTGTTTCTTGCTTGTTGAATTGAAATAGTGAAGAAAGGAGTATTTCCAAAGAAGTAAAATGATGGAACTACTGTCATTTTGCATGACAATAAAATAATAAAAGAAGTAGCTTAATTGAAGAGGGTAATATTATATGGTTTACTTAATATTTATACTTTTACATTAGAACTTCAAGACACTTAATCATTATTTTTATTGTCCTAAAAGAGAACATTTTAATGCCAATTATGTGCTAGGCAATATAATTTTAGTTTAATGCTAACAAAAGTTTTATATTGAAGAGAATGGTATCACAATTTACATAGTTTATGCAAGAAACCTAAGGCTTTCAGAAAATAGATAATTTGTCCAAGTTTATATATAATAAGATTTGGGCTCAAGTCTGTCTGACTGCAAAATACGGTTGTCCCATTAAATTATGAGCTTTGGAATACTTTAGTCTGATCTCAAATAAATTCAGTCATGCATTGCATTACAACAGGGATACATTCTGAAAAAAGCATCAGTGGGTGATTTCATCATTGTGTGGATATCATAGAGTGTACTTACACAATTCTAGAAGGTGCTAGACTATATGGTATAGCCTATTGCACTTAGGCTGTAGTAACAGCATGTAACTATACTGAATAGTGTAGGCAATTGTAACACAATGGTAAGTACTTGTATATCTAAATATATCTAAACATAGGTATATGTATTCCATTGTTGACCTAAATGTCATTATGCAGCAGTCTGGCCAGAAGCTATTTTCTAAATGACTGACTTTGGGAATATGAAAGAAATAGAAGAAAAATTTATAAATTTCGTAAATATGCAATGTTTTTTGCATATTTTGCATATTTACCTCCATGGTATATTAACCTGAGTTTGGTATTCAGCAGAGTATATCTCAGCTCACTTTTATTCCCCTTATCTCCAATCTTTTTCTTCTTTATTCAGTGTCAAATAGTGTGTGTTTGATTTATTGAAATAATACTGCCGTCATCAAGCGTGTCTCTTGGGTTCTAAGAGACATGAATCTCCGGGAGGATACAGGTTGATTGTGTGCTATTTTATTTCCAAATTAGTACTGATTGCCTTAGTGATTAAAAATAGAGATGCTTAAATAAAATGCAAAGCTTGTCCTTTCTTATGAGTAAGTACTTTCTAACTTGATGCTTAATCAATTTGTGTGTGTATGTGTATGTGGATACCAGTCTTTAACAACTGATGCAACTCTAAAAACAGGAGGTGGCATTAACTTCTAATATTTCTTTTTAAAATTTCTTAGTTTTCTACAGTTGCTGTAACAAAGTATCACTAATTTAGTGGTATAAAACAACAGGAATGTATTATGTTATAATTTTGTAGTTATTTTGTCTGAAGTGAACCTTACTGAGCTTAAATCAAGGTGTTGGCAGGACTGCATTCCCTTCTGGAGGATGTACAGCAGAATGTTTCCCTGTTTTTTCCAGCGGCTGGAGGCTACTCACACTTCTTGGCTCCTGGCTTCTTCTAAGCCAGCAATAGCAGGTCCAGTTTTTCTCACATCACATCACTCTGACCTTTTCTTCCTCCCTTTTCTACATTTAAGGACCCTTGTGATTACATTGGGCCTATCTGGATAATCAAGGACAGTCTCTGTATTTTAAGGTCAAATGATTAACAACATTAATTCCATTTGCTACCTTAAATCTCCTTTGCCATGTAAGGTAACTTACTAACAAGGTTCTGAGGCTTAGGACATTGACATCTTTGAGTAGGTCATTATTTGGCATACAATTCCTCTGTCACTCACATTCAGTGTTACTGGAACTAAGCAATGGTATGCTATTGCATTGGTTCATTTGTGTTACTGTAAAGGAATATCTGAGACTGAGTAATTTGTAAAGAAAAAGGTTTATTTTTGGCTCACGGTACTACAGACTGTACAAGAAGGATGGTGCTGGCATGTGCTTCTGTTGAGGGCCTCAGGAAGCTTACAGTCATGATGGAAGATGCAGGGCAGCCAACATGTCACCTGGTGAGAGGGAGCAAGAGAGAGAGGAGGAAGTACCAGGCTCTTTTGAACAAAGAGCTCAACAACCAACATGAACTCATAGAATGAGAACGTACTCATACTGTGAGGGTGGCACCAAGCAATTCATGAGGGATCTGTCCCTGTGACCCAAATACCTCCCAGTAGGCCTCGATTCAGACACTGAGGACTTACATTTCAAAATGAGATTTGTAGGGACAAACACCAAATCGTATCAGGCATTAACATTATTTCACTTAATTCAGAGCTTTTTTTGAAATCTTAAGAGATGACAGAAGTCTATTCTCCAGCTTTATTAAGAAGGTCTCATTTTTTGACATTAAAGTCTTTCTAGGGACCTTTCTCATTGTCACCAGGGTTGACAAATGCTGTTTTCTACTTCTCTTAGCATAATTAATTGGAACACAAATGCTATCTGATTAGGTTTTTATTTTAGGTTTAATCATGGAGGCATTCATTTCATACTATGTTTCTGAATCTTAGAGTTATTGATCATAGTAAAGAAAAATTCTTTATTTTTTGTGTATAGCAAAAATAAGAAAATTACAAATGTGAATTTGGATTTTGATTTTCTAAAAAATAGTAACAAGATTCAAACCTACAGTATCTGTTAGCAGATAAATGTATTGTGCTGTGTGTGTATATATATATGTATATACATAATGAAATATTGTTCAGCCTTGAAAAAGGGAATACTGCCATATATGACAACATGGGTGAGCCCAGAGGACATTATGCAAAGTGAAATAAGCCAGACACAGGAAGAAAAATACTGCATGATCTCACTTCCCTGTGGAATCCAAAAAAAAGAGCTGAATAAATAGAAACACAGTAGAATACAGTTACCAGCAATAGGGAGGAAGAAGAAATGGGGAGAAGTAGGTCAAAAGGTACATATTTAGAGTTAGGTAGGATGAATAAGTCCAGAGATCTAATATATAGCATGAACTACAGTTAATATTATATACCGAAAATATGCTAAGAGAGTAGATTTTAGATACACGTAATACATATACACATGAAAAGGGGTAACCGTAGAAGTAAATTTGTTTGACTGTAATAATCATTTCACTGTGTGTATGCATACCAAAACATCATGTACACTGCAAGTATATGCAATAAAAAATAAATTTTAAAAACACAGCCATAATAAGATTTACTTCTCTCCCAAACTGTCTTAACTAATGGAGTTGTTTTTCACAATTATCACACTGTAAGTTTGATGGCTCTTTTTTTGTAAATGTATCAGTAAGATATATTATAGCGCTAACAGCATTCTTTTAACTGTTTTTCACTTGCTGATACATCACTTGATCTGTTTAGAAGTTATGAAAATGTTTCATTTTCCCCTTTATTTGCTTAATTTTTCAAACTTTTTTTTTAATAGGATCGGAAACTCCATGGTACAGCTCAGCAACTGCTCCAGGATAGCAAGACAAAAATAGAAGTCATACGAATGCAGATTCTTCAGGCAGTCCAGACTAATGAATTGGCTTTTGATAATGGTGATGGAATAAATTGTCCTCCTTCTTATGAGCATACTGGTGCTAAATAATCTGATGTAGGAACAGGGCAGTGGTTCAAAGTTAAGGGGGAGGAAGCATTATTATTACTATCTTTTTTTTTTTAATCTTGAGTTTTAGACTCTTCACTTGGATAGATGCTTTTAGATATTTGGCCCTTATATTTCAAGAAGATATTGATCTAGAATATATCTCTTCATTTAAATAGATTATCAAATACTTACAGTCAGTCTGTATCTTTAAAACAATCTGTTACCTGTTTAAGAGTATGATTTTGTTTTCTTTTGTTTTTTTTGTTTTGTTTTATTTATTTATTTTTAATTCCAGAAGAAATCTTTACAGCTAGTTGCTAAGAGTAGGAGTAGAAATTTTCAGTCTCCCAGTGTTACAATATTTGGATATCTTTCACCTCTAAAATCTTTTTTTCAGATTTATAATTTTGATGTATAATGACAAAAATGAAAGACTGAATTTCAGTATCATATCAAATACTTTTATTTCAGTGTTTATTGATGTAAGGACTAAATTACTGTAATGTCACGGGAATTCATTTCTTTTCATGATTTTAATCACTGCAAATTGGAAAGTCAAATAAATGGTGCAATTAAAATTTCTTTTTTCCCTTCTAGCAAAACCTGTGATAAGTCCTCTTGAACTTCGGATGGAAGAATTAAGGCATCATTTTAGGATAGAGTTTGCAGTAGCAGAAGGTGCAAAGAATGTAATGAAATTACTTGGCTCAGGAAAAGTAACAGACAGAAAAGCACTTTCAGAAGTAATTCTAAATAAAATTTTTATTTGATTTAATAAATACATTATTCAAAGTACGTGATTATTTGAGTGACAACAATTGTCTTTTCTCTGTGCAAGGCTCAAGCAAGATTTAATGAATCAAGTCAGAAATTGGACCTTTTAAAGTATTCATTAGAGCAGAGATTAAATGAACTCCCCAAGAATCATCCCAAAAGCAGTATTATTATTGAAGAACTGTCACTTGTTGCATCACCAACACTAAGTCCACGTCAAAGTATGATATCTACACAAAATCAATATAGTACACTATCCAAACCAGCAGCATTAACAGGTATGTAGTGTATATCCGTTGTTTTTTGTGTGTATTTTTGTCTATAACTGGTTCTAATAATTGAAAAACTTGTGCATAGATTTTTTTCAATTGTGATAAGATACACATAGAATAAAATTTGTTGTATTAACCATTTTAATTTTATTCAATTTGGAAGCATTTAGTATATTCACAATATTGTGTGACCATCACCACTACCTAGTTTCAAAACATTTGCATCACCCCAAAAGGAAACGCATACCCGTTAAGCAGTCACTCCTCATTCCCCCTTCCTCCCAGCTGCCAGCAACTACTAATTGTCTGTCTCTACAGATTTGTTTATTCTAGATATTTCATATGATAGAAATTATATAATTTGTGACCTTTTTTGCCTGGCTTCTTTTACTTAGCATATTGTTTTCAAGGTGCATTCATGTTATGTATGAGTACTTCACTCACTTTTAATGTCTGAATAGTATTCCGTTTGCGGGAATATTCCAAAATTCAAAACTTTTTGTGCACCCAACATGATGCTCAAAGGTCATGTCCAAGGAAATTCTCATTGGAGCATTTTGGATTTGGGATTTCAGATTTCCAGATTAGGGATGCTTAATCGGTAAGTATAATATAATATAAACATTCCAAAATCTGAGATATTCCTGGTCCCAAGCATTTCAGATAAGGAATACTCAACCTATATACCATATTTGATTGACCTGTTTGTCAGAGCATATGGGTTCTTTCTACCTTTTGACTGTTGTGAGTAGTGTTGCTATGAACATTTATGTGCAGGTTTTTGCTTGAACATCTGTTTTCAATTTAGGGATATATTCCTAGGAGTATAATTGCTAGGTCATATGGTAGCTATATCTAAGATTTTGAGGAGCTGTCAAACTGTTCTTCACAGCATTTACATTATTTTATACTTCTAACAGTAATGTATAAAGTGGGTTTCAGTATCTCCAGATCCTCACCAATAGTTATTTTTCTTTCATTCTTCTTTGATCATGTTCTAATAGGTCCATTATTGGAAGTATGGTAATATGTCTAACTATTTCTGTAGAACCGTCTCTGTTTCTCCCTTCAGTTATGTAAATTTTTGTTTCCTATATTTGTGGGCTCTGTTGCTAGGTCATGTATGTTTATAATTTTTATATCTTCTAGATGGATTGACTCCTTTACCTTTACCTTAACTCCTTTATAATGTCCTTTCTCTCCTGTAATAATATTTAATTTAAAGTCTGTTTTGTCTGATTTTAGAACAGCTACCCCTACTTTGTTTTGGTTTTGTCTTTGGGTTCAAATGAGTCTCTTTTAGATTATATATTATTGTGTCCTGTTTTATAAGATCCATTCTGTCAGTCTGTGCTTTTTTTTTTTTTTTTTTTAAATTCATTTTTATTGGGACAGTCTCACTCTGTCATTATAGCCTCCCACTCCCAGGTTCAAGCAATTCTTGTGCCTCAGCCCCCCGAGTAGATGGGATTACAGGCATGTGCTACTGCACCTGGCTAGTTTTTGTATTTTTAGTAGAGATGGGATTTCACCATGATGGCCACACTGGTCTCAAACTCCTGGCCTCAAGTGATCTGCCTGCCTTGGCATCCCAAAGTGCTGGGATTACTGGTGTGAGCCACCGCATCTGACCAGTGTCTGCTATTTAATTTAATAGTTTAAGACAATTATCCAGGTGAGGTTGCATGCACCTGTAGTTCCAGCTTCTTGGGAGGCAGAGGCAGGAGAATGGCATGAGCCCAGAAGTTTGAGGCTACAGTGAGTTGTGATTCTACCACTGCACTCCAGCCTGGGTGACCGAGCAAGACTCCATCTCTAAGAAAGAAAGAAAGAGAGAGAAACATTTAAAGTAATTACCAATAGGATGTAATAATCCTGGTGGTAACTACTGAGGGGTAGGTTAAATTTAATAGGTTTATAGCACAGTCCCCCACAAAACTGCCATCACTTCATAAGCAAGCAGCAAACTTAGAGTTCCCAAGGCCACATGCACCCCTGACCAACTGTCTACAGATTCCAGAATTTCTACTAACATCTCAGCTCAGTAATTTGCTGGAACAAACCATAGAACTCAGGGAAGCACTATACTTAGGATTACATTTTTATTATAAAGGATACAAATTAGGACCTTCATGGCTCACTGCAGCGAAAAGAAAATAAACATAAAGGGGAAGATCTTAGAGGATCTCAAACACAAACCTTATGCGTCCTTAGGATATATCACCCTCCTAACACATCAGTGTCTGTCACTGATCAGGAAGTTCACTTGAGCATTGGGTGTGCAGGATTTTCACTGGGGCTTTGTTACGTAGGTGTGATTGAGTGAATCATTGGCCACATGGTTGAATTCAGTCTCCAGCCTTGTGCCCCTCCCTAGGTCAGGAGGTCAGACTGATTGATGTGTGGCTCAAAGCCTCCACCTCCTAAAGATATGATCATTCTTTCTGGCATGGCCAGCCCCCCATCCTGAAACTGTCTAGAGGCCAACCATGAGTCACCTTATCAGGTGTGGTCTGAGGTATCCACTATGAATAACAAAGGCACTCCTATCACTGGGGGACAGTCCAGAGGTTTAGACTTAGAGGCTGTCTTCTAGAAACCAGGGACAAAAACCAGCCAAATTATTATACAACAAAAGGGCTTCTGGCATTTTGCAGGTTTTTTTGTTTTTTTGTTTTTGTTTTTGTTTTTTTTTGCAAGTGTTTATCTTTTTTTCTCTGAGTTCTAGTACTACCTTCTTTTGGTTTTTTTTTTTTTTTTTTTTTTTTTGAGACGGAGTCTCTCTCTGTCGCCCAGGCTGGAGTGCAGTGGCCGGATCTCAGCTCACTGCAAGCTCCACCTCCCGGATTTACGCCATTCTCCTGCCTCAGCCTCCCAAGTAGCTGGGACCACAGGCGCCCGCCACCTCGCCCAGCTAGTTTTTTGTATTTTTTAGTAGAGACGGGGTTTCACCGGGTTAGCCAGGATGGTCTCGATCTCCTGACCTCGTGATCCGCCTGTCTCGGCCTCCCAAAGTGCTGGGATTACAGGCTTGAGCCACCGTGCCCGGCTTTCTTTTGGTTTTAATTGAATTTTTCTACTCCATTTTTATTTATTTATTTTCGAGACAGGATCTCTGTCTGTTGCCAAGGCTGGAGTACAGTGGTGTGATCATAGCTCACTGTAACCTCAAACATCTGGGCTCAAGCAATCCTCCTGCCTCAACCTCCTGAGTAGCTAGGAGTACAGGAACGTGCCACCACACCTAGCTAATTTTTAATTTTTTGCTAGGAGTGGGGTCTCACCGTATTGCTCAGGCTAGTCTCAAACTCCCAACCTCAAGCAATTTTCCCACCTCAGACTCCCAAAGTGTTGGGATTACAGGCGTGAGCCACTATGCCCAGCTTCTACTCTACTTTTCTTATTCTCTTCTTGCTCCCTTTTCTGAGATAAATATATATATATTTTTTCTCCTACCTCAGCCTCCCTAGTAGCTGGGAGTACAGGTGCACACCACCATACTCAGTTTATTTTTTTTGTAGAGACGGGGTTTCTCTACGTTGCCCAGCCTGGTCTTCAACTCCTGGGCTCAAGTGATCTGTCCGCCTTGGCCTCCCAAAGTGCTGGGATTACAGGCATGAGCTACTATGCCTGGTCTTTCACTAAATCTTGAACTCCTCACAACCACTCACCTTACTGCCTCCGTAGTTTTTGCCCTTTCCAGAATGGTCGTATAGTTGGAATCTTACAATATGTAGCCTTTTCACATTGGTTTCTTTCACTTAGTAATACACATTTAAGTTTCCTCCATGTCTTTCCATGGTTTGATAGCTCATTTTGGTTTTGTGCTTAAAAATACTCTATTGTGTGTATGTACCATAATTTATTTATTCATTCATTTACTGAAGGACTTCTTGGTTGCTTCTAGGTTTTGGCAGTTATGTATAAAGCTGTTATAAACATCTGTGTGCAGGTTTATTATTTTCTTAGTGATTACCCCAGTGATTGTAACTAATGTCCTAAATTTATTATAATCTTATCTTTAGTAGCCTACAAAACTCCTTCACTGTGCCCTTGTTATATTGTCACAAACTGTCTTTATGCACCATATACCCATTAACATAGGCTATAAATATTGTTTTATGCATTAGTCTTTTAAATCATAAAGGAAACAAAAGAAGAGTTACTTAAAATATAGAAATACTGGCTTCTGGCCGGGCGCGGTGGCTCACGTCTGTAATCCCAGCACTTTGGGAGGCCGAGGCGGGCGGATCATGAGGTCAGGAGATCGAGACCATCCTGGCTAACACGTTGAAACCCCGTCTCTACTAAAAATACAAAAAAAAAAAAATTAGCCAGGCGTGGTGGCGGGCGCCTGTAGTCCTAGCTACTCCGGAGGCTGAGGCAGGAGAATGGCATGAACCCGGGAGACGGAGCTTGCAGTAAGTCAAAATCGTGCCACTGCACTCCAGCCTGCGTGGCAGAGCAAGACTCCATCTCAAAAAAAAAAAAAAAAAAATACTGGCTTCTATATTTACTTAGGTAGTTAATTTTACCTGCATTTGTCTTCCTTTCTTCCTTTCTCTTTCCCTTCCTCCTCTCCCTCCCTCCCTCCTGCTTCTCTTCCCTCCCTGCCTCCCTTCCCTCCCTCCCCTTCCTGACCGCCCCCCCTTCTCATCCCACATCCTTCATTTCAGTCTAAAAGGCTTTTTTAGCATTTCTTATGGGCGGGTCTCCTAGTGTCTACCTCCCTTAGCTTTTGTTATCTAGGAACCTTTTTATTTTTTTTCTTTTTTGAATGATAGTTTGCTATATATATAGAATTCTTGGCTGGCAATTTTGGTTTTTTCCAGCACTTAAAAAAATGTCCAACTGGGCACAGTGGCTCATACCTATAATCCCAGCACTTTGGGAGGCCGAGACCGGTGGATCACTTTAGGTCAGGAGTTTGAGACTAGACCAGCCAGCATGGTGAAACCCCATCTATAGTAAGAATGCAAAAATTAGCTAGGCATGATGGCGTATGC